GGAAGGAAGGAAGGAAGGAAGGAAGGAAGGAAGGAAGGAAGGAAGCAAGCTATCAGGAAAAAGCGCCAAACCATTACGACTATATAGCACTTGGAAGGAGTCAGGATAAGGATAAGGATTTGGGGTGGAATGAGGGGGGGGGGAAATGGTGCCCAGCTACTTGTACGATCAGGGATTGAACGCCGACCTGCATGAAGTGAGACCGTCGCTCTACCGTCCAGTCCAAGTGGACGGTAGAACATCTACCTCTCACCCAAGAACTCCGGGGTATACACAGACACCAACTGCTCACCCCATGAACGCCTGGGGTATACATAGACACCAACTTCTGCCTCATGAACCAACATTATAATAAGTGTTACCATAACGCCCAGCTCGCCATCGAGGTGAAGGACCCACCACTAGAGTGAAAGGAAGGCGGCACCACTAGAGTGAAAGGAAGGCGGCACCACTAGAGTGCAAGGAAGGCGCCACCACTAGAGTGCAAGGAAGGCGTCACCACTAGAGTGCAAGGAAGGCGGCACCACTAGAGTGCAAGGAAGGCGCCACCACTAGAGTGCAAGGAAGGCAGCACCACTAGAGTGCAAGGAAGGCCCCACCACACTCTTGTATTCCTGATTGCACACAACGTTTCTAGACATAACTGCAACGTGCTTGTGTCTGAAGCAAAGATATAGTAAACCCGTCAGTGAAGAATCAGAGTGTCTCCTATGGATCCCATCTCATTTTGTTATTTATATATGCAAGAGTTCTTACATTCTTGTAAAGCCACTACCACGCATAGCGTTTCGGGCAGGTCTTTAATCTTAATTTTCCCCGGAATACGACCCGCCAAATCGTTTAACAACCAGGTACCCATTCACTGGTGGGTGATCAGAGGCTGCAATTAAGGTTTGGCACCGAGTCAATCCTCCTCGGCCAGGATAAGAACCCAAGCCAAATCACTTGCGAAGCGCGGGACGAGTGTCTTATCACTGCGCCACGGGGATTGCTTAATACTGGTCTCAGAGTGCGTACTAGAGCTGATACGTTAACCAAAGCGTATGTGCACCTAACGAGGGAGTTGATTACCACTAGTTATGCCATCTGTCGTCTTGCTACTGTACAGGAAGAGCCAGTTATCTTCCGGCCACCCAGTAAGGTCAGCGGAATTCTAAGCGTTACCACTACTAGGCTTAGGCTCGGCTACAAGTACCTTCCAGAGTTTGCACCACCTTCTGAAGTAATCAGTAAAACAATTAACATGCGAACATCACTATGTAAATGAGTGTGAAACATGTGAAGTGTTTTAGAGGCACTTCATCACTAACGCTCAAGACAAGTCCGAGTGTTTTATCCGGAGTGACATATTATCCCAAATCCTGGCCGGATATCCCAAGTTTGCCTATTACAGATTAGTGCACAAAATGCATGGCTGCATTGCCTGCAGCGTAGCCATGCGCTGTGCTTACGTCACGACAACGAACTGTACCGTGCTGGTTACAGTAATGTACTTAGATCACTTTCCTTGTAACTATCACAAATTTGAGGCCATACAACTTTAACTAAAACACTATAAATTCTTAACTTATAGAATATTGGGGCTCAGATCCTGAACCTGTAACTCTGTAACCATCATGTTAATCAGAACTGTTAAAAGACTTGATTTACAACTAACTCATCAATGTTGTAACTTGATTAGCCAAACGAATATTGAGGTTCAGTTCCAGAGCCCATTATTGACCTTTACCCTTGTCACCACCGCGAATACAACCGAGCCTCTCAAAAGGAATATAGTACCTAAGCTATTTTGAGTATAATGTACAAATATACAATGTTGTTCCCTGAAAAGTTCACATTTTGTACTATTCGAATACTAAAGAGCATACCAAAAAGTGGAACACAGTAACCATGAACCTAACCTGTCCTAGGTCTAAATAAGCAATCTTAGGCTTAATTTGGTACATATATGTGTACTATAGTAGGCCTAGCAAAAGTTATGTTTAGTTTTCCCATTTTTCTGTGGCCCTGTACAAAGTTACTAAACTAAACTGTACCCGGCTCTGTTGTTTTAAAGTTGGTAATATATATTATATACCTACCCAGGTCAGCAGAAACAGGATAAGAAGTCTCAACAGAAGACCTTGCATTAGCAGCAGCAGCAAGTGTACAGGTGAGGATGAGGATGCAGATGGTGAGTGAGGCCGCAGAGAGCCTCCCACCAGACCTCGCCGGCTGGTGAGCGAGGCTCCTCCAGCAGCTCCTGCTGAACCAGCGGGGCCTCACTCCACCTCCGCCTTCGTCTTCCTCTGCTTGCTCACCTCTCATATTGGTTTATATTTACTTTTTCTAAGTCTTGTCTATAACGTCAAGCACAACGTAAAAGTCACTCTTCAGATGAGACTAAACGAGACATATATATATATATATATATGTTACATTATATATATATGATAATAATATATTATATAATGTAACAAGCGAACTAGACTCCTCGTGTCTCAGAAACAATTAGTGGTGACTGTAGTATGAACAATGGTTGAGCGTTGAGTGTCCGTGAGGGCGCAGGAGACTGGGATCAGCCAATGATGACACTGCTGGCAGTACTTAAGATTAAATCATGACCAGCGTTATCGTCCGTATCGTTAAATGTTATCAGATCCGTGGCCCGTACTGCTTGCAACCTGTCGTCATTCCTCTTCCTCATGTTCAAGTTCAAGTATGCAGGCGATGAGTCACAATAACGTGGCTGAAGTATGTTGACCAGACCACACACTAGAAATTGAAGGGACGACGACGTTTCGGTCCGTCCTGGACCATTCTCAAGTCGATTCTCCATTCAAGTCGAAACGTCGTCGTCCCTTCAATTTCTAGTGTGTGGTCTGGTCAACATAAGTTCAAGTATGTTTATTAAATTTAAATTTTGCCTCGAGGGGCGAGTTTATTGGGCAGCCCCACTCATCTTGTGAGTGGACACACCGCCATAGCAGCATGTACAACACTCCCCAACAGGAAGAAAACCCGCTGGGTTGTTCATCCTGTCACTTGTACCCAGACACAGCTGGGACTTGCTTAACTGTCTCAAGTGAACAGCTCCTCAAACAAGAAGATTAACATCTATCAACCCTTAAAAGCTTACGTTATCTTGCGGGTGCAAAATGGAGAAATCTTTTAAGAACAGTATCAATATTTGACAAATAGTGTTTTCCTAACTCAAACAATGTGGGGTTTATTATTCTACACATATTTCTAATGTCTCTCAGGTGTTCACATTCACGTAGATAGGGTCAAGGTGGTGTCCATCACTCTCACGACAGATTCTGCAACTTCGCTGACCAACTGTTGTTTCCATTCCATACAAGAAAATAGATCTCAAAGGGATAGAGTAGCTTAGGCTATTTCTACCGCCCCCCCCCCTCTACTTCAAGTCCCTCAAGAGGCGCACAAATTCAGTGAGTACGAATCCACAAATCACAATACAAGAGTCACATTTAACATTCCACGTTAATATAGTAAATACAGCATATAAGTGTTACACTCTTGGGGCAAAATGCTTGTAACTCCTAAGTATTCTGTCTATCATACCATTATCATCCACTCAAACAATTTGATGTGGTACAATACTTATTTCTATAGTTATCAATAAGTTGACACTCTAATACATAATGATCTAAGGTGTGAACGTGCGGCATACTACATAATTTACACTCTATATATATTTTTCACTGACATCAACACCCTATTGCCAAATATATTTGTATCCTACTCTTATAGTCTCATGTAAATTGAATCCTTCCAAGTAGACTTTCCTCTACCGTAAGTGAAGGACGAATTTGTATTTATTATTGCATAATTCTTAAGTGTTACTGCTGTCCACCATTGCCGTTCTCTGAACCTTTTTGTAGCGAGTAAGCTTATACTCGCTCCATTATCTCATTATCTTAATGGTATAACTAATTACACAAGCTATAATCCTATCCCTATTTACAGGTAACGGTTTTTCCACCCTCCTATCTTACTGTGAGGTGTAGTCACCGTATTTAAGCAAGCGATTTGAGAATAGCAAAACAGTACAATCTCCAGTCAAGAATGTAGTACTCGGTGTAGGCAGTTCTAATCGACTCAAGGCGCTACAGCTTCGACACAGAGCAGGCAGCAGACTACGACCTCATCCAGCTACAACGCTCTCCCACATAGAGCTCCACGACTCCGGCCACACTCAGCTCTCTGCTCTGCTCCAGGCTTCGTCTCAACGTCTACGACACTGCTGTATCCAGGACTACTAAATAAATATGAAACTCACTAAACACTGTGTATCTAATCAACCCAACAACGTAACATAATCGTACGTTACATTTTCTTCATCCTCTTGGATCATCTTGATTCTTGATTTTATTTGTTTCAAAGTTATCTGACATACAACATCGACGAGAGTTTTTTCCGTGGCTCTCTTCGCTATCTCATCAACTACCTCATTCAACAGTATTCCCACATGTGAAGGAATCCACATGAATCTTGCTTTATACCCATTTTTTTATAATGTCTTAACATTCTCTTTACACTCTATCACAATATTCTGGTAAACTGGGCGTCTGCTATTTAAAGACTAACGCTCCTCTACTGTCAATAAGGAAACAGATTTTTACCACATTTGACTACTTCCTGTAATCCTGCTAATACACCTTGGAGTTCAACTTGCGTTGAAGAGAAATTGTCAGTTAAGCGGCGTCCAATAACAGTATCTACAGTGCCGATGTCAGTTGATTGATTAATTGATGAAGATGAAACCACACAAGAAGTGGCAGGGGCACGAAATAGCCCGTAAGTGGTAAAATTTTTGTTCAATAAATGTATAGTGTGCTGAGGTCGCATTTAATCGTTAGGCTGCTATCGCATCGCGGTGGGATACTGCTTGACAGTATTAATGATGCTGGACACCTTTTTTCACCAGAAGAGTGGCAGTGTTGATGGCTTCAGGGTGGTTACTGCAAGATTCGGGGACTCTTGGAATACAAGGCTACTGTTCCCTGGGTCGCTGTGGAGCATGTAGTCCGGTACCAAAAGTTGCAGCCAGCATATGGACAAGTTCGGTGTAGCAGGAGAGAAGAATGTGCACGATTGTTGCGTCCTGGGTCTCTGGTGGAACATTTAGATCCAGGGCGGATGCGATGCGCTCGGGCACCAAGACCATAGGAGGTAATGTAGGCACGTACTTAGGACAACAAGGAAATATCGCACCAAGACCATAGGAGGTAATGTAGGTACGTAGTTAGGACAACGAGGAAATCGCTTTTAGAACTGAACTGTCCTGGAGGCGACGAAGAGTCGGAAACGCAAGCTGTAGGTCCTGTACTGCGCAAGAAAAGTGCTGCTTAAGTCTGCAGCATAGCAGAATGCAGTAAACGTGTAGGTGAATCTGTTGAAGAGCAACTGTCGTGGGAGTCCCCTGTAGAATCAGCAGTGCCCTGGCAGCGACGGAGAGCCGGCAGGACAGGCTGTAGATCCCACATGATGTAGTTACTGATGGAGCTGTCAGATAAGTAACGATCGTGGTGCAACATGGTGTAGCAAATGAACATGCAGAGATAATCGCGGTGAAAATCATAACTGTGACGAGGTTGCAGGCAGCGTTCGACGGCAGGTGGCAGCGGTCCACAGCAGCAGTAGAGGTCCAGTGGGATGCCATGTTGTAGTCCGTCGGGGCTGGGAGGCTGGGTATTATCGTCACTCTCTGGGTCACCAATGTAACGTACGATTATGTTACGTTGTTGGGTAGATTAGTTAGTGATGTCATTAGTGCTAATGAGAGGTGTACTTATCTCATTTAGCTAATGAGTTTGGAGCGAGTATATTATACTCGCTACAACAGCATATAAAAATTTATGAATACGTCTGTGGGGTCGACCGCTGGATGTAATAGACTTGAGTCGAGGACGGGTTGCAGAGAAAGCCTTGTACTCTTCTGGCTCGTTTAAGTTTATAATTTTCCCCGCGACCTCTCGTTCTACCCCTCATCATACAACACTGGTTAACTGGCACTCTTGGAATATCAAAACTTTACTTTTTCTTTTACACAGGTGGGTACAGGAGCAGACAACTGCTGACTCCTGTTAACAAGCTGAGAACTTTCCCATCCCATAGCTCATGGTAAGGCTTACCCACTAGTTTCCCCTGGAATACGACCCACCAATCATTTAACAACAAGTACCCAATTACTGCTTGCTGAACAGAGGCGTACAGTTAATTTACTTGGTCGTTTATTAATGCTCATATACTTTATAAGTTGCTTACTTTTGGTTTATTCAATAATTATTTTCCTCGTTCTGTTTCGCTCGACCTCAGAAATAATTGTTCTGACTGTAAGTAGGTACATAGATATGTAATATATATGAAGAACTTGTTGAGATAGATATGACGAATAGAGACATTTGTTAGGGAGACAGTCATATACATTGGACTGTGATGCGGGATAATGTTTATAATTTTGTATAATTATGAGAAACTATTACATAAGGTTCAGCTACAAATCGTTCTTAATTGCCATCTACAGAGAGGGCTGTTCTGTCTAATTATGTAAACATATGGGAAGTTTCAGTTCAGCTATTGATATTGTAACAATTTATTACACGAGATTCTTAAACTTTTGTATGAGTGATAAGCGCATTACCAATATCCAATGCTAAAATGTCGCCTTCAGCGTCGAGACGACGTTCTCGATCGAAAATCCGCATTCAGGGATGCTGTCGAAGTTCGCCTTTAATGTAAACAAAAACTTGCAGTAAAAAAAAAAAAGTAATAGTAAAGCTGAGTAGTGACCATAAAGCTTGTCAGAGGTAGGCAATCTGCAGTATGGCCGAGGTAACGACAAGTGACATAGAGTATTGTAGAGTGAGGGAAGGAGGAAGGAGGGAGGGAGGGGAGGCGGTCGTCAATACCGGGGCGGATCTCAGCCGGAGACGACGCGTCCTTTGTTGATGGTTGTGGTGAGTCGGGGCTCCTGGGGTCCTCATGGCTCCTGCCTCACTCATGGCTCTTGCCTCACTCATGGCTCCTGTCCCGCTCATGGCTCTCACTCCAGCTACACCCGGGGCTGTCTGAGGCGCCCTCGTAGTAAACGGGGGTTGAAGATTGCTTCCGCCCACCTTTACCTCACTCACAACATCCAGTCTGAGGCTGGTTTTAGATGGGTTCCTATTATGCCAAACATATTTTTTACATAGTCTCCCTCGCGTTTTCGGTAAAATTATCAGGTAAATAAGAATCCTTCTAGAGTCATCAATACTCTGATATTAGTTTTTTTGCACTTCTCATTGAGGCAGTGTCTAATTCTGTTCTGAGCCATTTTTGAAAGTGGATCATATTTTAAAATGTGAAACATTTGGTTATAAGCACCTTCAAGTATAGTGCAAATTATGAACAATAACCGTAGGATGTCAATTTGCTGGATTCGAACCCTAATTTAAAGAGAATCTGTCGGATTTAAACCCAACCAAAGAATTTTCAATTTGATGGGTTACTCTGCTATAGAGATCTAAGAAAATTGTGTATCACTGTCACTGCCCATACTCTGATGGTTAAGTCATCCTGATTTGTACTGTATTTAAATTTTAGTGCTCCAGTGAGTTAGTATAAAAATAATATCCCCTTGTAGTAACATTCAACTTATAATCTTTTGAATCATTTGGTTAGGGTTCTTCATATTCACAATCTCTAGGTTAGGGTTCATATTTACAAACCATAGGTTATGGTTTGTCATATTCAATATCCTTAGATTAGAGTTCATATTATTCTTTAGATTATGAATATGGTGAATATGGTGAGTCTTAAGTTGGGATTCACCATATTCACAATCCTTGGGTATAGGAGTCATCATGTTCACAATCCTTGGGTTCGGGTTCATCGTATTCATTTTTCAGAGGGTAAACTCCAAACTCCATATCATTCACAGAGGATCCTGGTAGTACAGTCGGGTTTGTTCTCAAATTGATTGAGAATTCTGGGTTTGAATCCCGGGCGGCACAGAAATGGTTAGGCATGTTTCCTTTCACTTCATGTCCCTGTCCACCTAGCAGTAAATAGGTACCCAGGAGTTAGTCAGCTTGTTGTGGGGTTGCATCCTGGGCGGGGTCAGTAATTCAACCCTGAGGGGGAGGGACCTCGGTATGAGCCTAACATGTACTTTATGTATAACCTGGCTTCCTGTCATCTTCCCATATATAGCGTGCACACACACACACACACACACACATACATACATACATACATACATACATATACATACATATACATACATACATACATACATACATACTTTCAGCGCCTTAGTGTGGCGATCCAGAGAGGAAATGCTCACTGCATCCATGGTTCCTGCCCGCCTTCTGAGGAGCTGGAGGAGCTCTACAACTTGTGACAAGTAGCTTTGTACCCTGCATACATACCAGAGATCTTACATTGTTGTACAGCCACTAGCATGCATAGTGTTTAAGGCAGGTTCTTAATCCTAATTTTCCCCAGAATACGACCCTCTAAATCGTTTAACAACCAGGTACCCATTCAGTGCTAGGTGAACAGAGGCTACAGTTAAGGATTAGTTCCCAGTCAATCCTCCCGGGCCAGGATCCGAACCCAGGCCAAAACTCTCATGTAGCGTTTTGCTGGGAGCCGGTCGGCTGAGCGGACAGCACACTGGACTTGTGATCCTGTGGTCCCGGGTTCGATCCCGGGCGCCGGCGAGAAACAATGGGCAGAGTTTCTTTCACCCTATGCCCCTGTTACCTAGCAGTAAAATAGGTACCTGGGTGTTAGTCAGCTGTCACGGGCTGCTTTCTGGGGGTGGAGGCCTGGTCGAGGACCGGGCCGCGGGGACACTAAAGCCCCGAAATCATCTCAAGATAACCTCAAGAAGATAGCGCCGGGCGAGTGCTTTACCACTGTGCCATGGGGACACCTTGGGTTAGGGTTCATCATATTCAAACTCCTTGGGTTAGGGTTCATCATATTCAGGCTCCTTGAGTTAGGGTTCATCATATTCATAATCCTTAGGTTATGATTAATCACAACCCTTGGGTTAGGATTAATCACAACCTTACATTAGGATTAATCACAGTCCTTAGGTTAGGATTCATCATATTGACAATCCTTGGGTTAGGATTCATTATATTCACAATCCTTGGGTTCCAAGATTAATGTTTATCATAGTCACAGTTCTTATATTAGGTTCATTATATTCACGACTTATATTTGGATTATCATATTCATAATCCTTGACTTCTTGGTTAATGATCATCATCATTCAAAATCCTTCTGCCCCTAGATTAGAGTTAATTATATTCACAATCCTTAGGTTAGGATCATACTTTTGACAGTCCTTAAGCTTAGGGTTCATATTTTAAATAATTAAGTTGATCCTCATAAAGCACTAATATAACTCACTTTCCTAAACTAGAGAGCTTTTCCAGCAGCAACTGAATTTATATTGTCAAAAATATGATCTAATTTTGTATAGCCTACTTGTTTTCTTGTAGGCTTGTGTTTAAATATGAATGACAATACTGCAATTTACCTGGTTGATAGGGTTCTGGGAGTTCTTTTACTCCCCGGCCCATGGCCAGGCTTGACTTGTGAGAGTTTGGTCCACCAGGCTGTTGCTTGGAGCAGCCCGCAGGCCCACATACCCACCACAGCCCGGTTGGTCCGGAACGTCTTTTAGAAAACAGTCTAGTTTTCTCTTGAAGATGTCCACGGTTGTTCCGGCAATACTGTATTTCTGATGCTCGCTGGGAGGACGTTGAACAGCCGCGCACCCCTGATGTTTATACAGTGTTCTCTGATTGTGTCTATAGCACCTCTGCTCTTCACTGGTTCTATTCTGCATTTTCTTCCATATCGTTCACTCAAGCGGCTGGATTATTTTCTTATTAAAGCAGCAAACAAAAAATGTTAAGGAACAGAATTTAACATTTTTAGTAATGCATCTAATTAGGCTAGGTTAGATTTGGATAGGTATGCTTGGTTATGACATTTAATGTATTATTACAGTGGTACCTTCGTTTACGATCGCAGTCAGTTCCCAGAGACTCATTGTCAACCAAAAATTAGTCAACCAAAATGATTTTTTCCATGAGAAATAATGTAAATTTAATTAATCCATTCCACACCCCTAAAAATATTAACTTAAAAATGCATTTTATACCGAATAGCACTAATTTTGTACTAGCTGTAATGCAGCTAATACAGTATGTAAATCTTTCCTTGAATGAGGACTGTTGTTGGTGTATGGAAGACAGTGAGGAAGAGGGGAGGTGAGGTGTTAAGGGGAGTCCTATTCCATTATAACATTAGGCAGTGATGACTTTTCTGGGGTGCTCTCCTACATTTTGCTGCATTCCACTAGGACCTGCTTGTGGCTCACTGCTTGTTTTTCTCACTAAAAGCCTGTCTAGCAACACTTGGTTTTCCCTATGTTGTAACATTTGTCTGAAGTGAGATTCACATTGTCATTAAAAAGGTTAACACAATGGCCTGCTACAGCTAACACAATGGCCTGCTACAGCTTGATTTGGGTGACACTTTTCAGCAAAACTTTGCAGTTCTTCCCATACTGCACAAATTTCCTTAGTAAATGAGGAAGGAACATCCACTACTCTACATCAACAACCCTCATACAGTACCATTTTCATGTTTACGAATGATCTCTTGTTTTTCCTCTATCGTCATCCTCACAACTATTTTCTTAGGTTGAACTTTACCACTGACTTTCTTGGGACTCATGGCGTGATATATAAGAAAAACTTTTATGTTAAAGAAGCAAAGAAGCTGGCAAACAATTAAATTCTTCACAAAGAATTCAAGGGCAGCTGCTGTCGCTACTATGTAGGATAGACTTGTAAACAAACTGAGAATGTCTCGTCCTGTACCCCCAGCACCACGCGCTCGTTCGACCCATACGCGTACAAACAGACGTCGTCTTCCAAGTAAACAGTCGTACTGTACACTGGTTCAAATTATATGACGAATTTGACGTATGCCAAAAAATTTGTACTCTAGGGCAGTCGTCAACTGAGGTTCCACTGTACTTTATATCCATTTCTCCCCTTCATCATAGCCTTTCCAACTATTTGGGAAAATAATGATGTTTCTTGGTGAGAAACTCGCTCGTTCCTAACCTGATCTAACATGTTTTAATCTAGCTAAATGTTGCACACCCAGAGAAATTTTATTAACAAGAAGAAGCAAGATAGAAGTGAGACGACTCATGATATTGTTCGGCTGATTACAGCATGAAGTCATCTTTACAATTAGTTTATATTTTATCTAAGGATAGTGAATATGCTAGGGCTGTGCTGCTTGGATATAGACCCTAGGAGTTGGGTGCTATCCAAATACAGATTTAGAGAATTTCTAGGTGGTTTATCCTGTATCCTAAAAAATACAATGCCCCATAGATCTGTACTTAAATGGTTGCTTAATTTAAGAACAATTAGTTTGCAATACCCTTTCAAAAATGGAAAGCCTAAAAGTTCATTATTCATTCCACTCTTAATCTTCTTTTGTAATAGTAGTTAAACTTTTAAACAAAATGGAAAAATCCCTAATAATGCTCAGAACAATAATATAATTTAAATTAAGGCTTTACTGTATTAGTTTAGTCAACTAAGAAATTAATTTGTCACCATTGAAAGCCTACAAAACACACCTCAGTTTTTTATTTTGAAAAATAAACTCACTGATGCTTATAACATACTAGTACAGTACTGTAATATCCACTTGATATGTGTTGAGTTTAGATTTGGTTCAAATTGGTTAACTTAGGCACCATGGAACCTGCTAAATGTACTACTGAACACTTTGTCACACATCATTTCATTGCTATTCAGTACAATATTGGATAATTTGCTGTGCACATGACTTAAGATGTTGATAGTGACATTCACCGTACCTGATTTAGTTCTTGCTGACAAGTTTATAAAAAATAATACAGTAATAATGTTTTAAATTTTGAGATAGTGAGGAGCTATAACCATTTGGATGTCCCATCCTCTCTATGGGGGAAAATGGTTGTGAATCAATCACTCGCCCTCCACAAAAGCACCCACATACACCCACCACACTCACCACATCCCACACTCACCACATCCCACACTCACCACATCCCACACTCACCACATCCCACACCCACCACATCCCACACCCACTATGTCCCACACCCACCACGTCCCACACCCACCACGTCCCACACCCCACCACGTCCCACACTCACCACATCCCACACTCACCACATCCCACACTCACCACATTCCACACTCACCACATCCCACCACATCCCACACTCACCACATCCCAGACCCCCACACATGCACCCCACACCCACCCACACATGCATCCCACACCCACCTACACATGCATCCCACACCCACTTACACATGCACCCCACATCCACCCCACACCCACCCACACATGCACCCCACACCCACCCACACATGCACCCCACACCCACCCATGCATGCACCATACACCCACCCACACATGCACTCCACACCCACCCATGTATGCACCCCACACCCACAACATCCCACACTCACCCACAGACATCCCACACTCACCCTCACACATCCAAAACCACCACACACCCACCCCCTACACACTCACTTGCACATATACATCCATGACATTGCACACTCACCCACACACATTCACCCCACACCCACCCACATTCACCCCATACCCACCCACACATGCACCCCACACATATGCACTCCACACATATGCACTCCACACCTACCAACACATGTACCCCACACCCCACACTTACACATACACACTCCACACTCCCACCACATACCACACTCACCCACACCCACGACATCCCAGACAGTCTCTCCCGTCTTGCCCCTCTTTCCAACACTCCCTACCCTGGAATCAGCCACCTCAACATCTCCTATTCTCTGCGCCTTGAGCTACTACTACAGTATGACCCGATGCCTGACTGCATTATCCTGCGAAATCTTTGGTTATCCAAATTCTTATTTGGATATGGTGAAGTTTTTATCCGGCCTCAAAAACTGCTGGATAACCCAAAGATTCGGAAAAGTGGGCTTCGGATAAGCGAACTTATACAGTATCATGTTCAGACTATTGGTCATGGGGTTTTCTTACCTCTGATTTATGCTTAATGGAATTGTCTCTTATGTTCCTTTGCTTGGGTGTTCAGGATACCTGACTGCCTGATAGGCTAGGCAGCCTATTTACTTGCCTTATCACTCCTGGCAGTGCTGTACTGGTGTCCTTAGTCTCCTGTTTCATCTGTTCTGCAGTCCAGGCAATTCGTTCCCTTCTCTTCAAAGGATACCTGATTAACTAGGCTGTGATTCATACATCAGGCTGCGAGTAGCCACATCGAACAGCCTGGTTGACCAAACCACCAACCAGAAGGACTGATCAGAGACTGGGCCTTGGGATGTTGATCCTTGGAATCATTGACAGGTAATTACTACCTTAGGAAGTAATGGAATATGATTGCTCAGAAATTAGCCTTATTGAGTTAATATAAAATCACCTTTCTGATAACACATTCAATTAATCCCAGTCCGTTCATTTTATGCCTTTCCTATGTGCAGTGTTAAATATTTGTGTCGAGAAGTATTTGTGACAACTCAGGGTCTGGGAACCTGGAAGTGTCTATGGTGTTGCTATATGGTGGCAGTCAGTTCCGGTGGCTAAGCAGAGCAACTGACAGTTTGTGAACCCTCTCTTAGCAGTCAATTGTGATACCAAGGTAAGTTTTGGAATGGCTTTAAAATGTTATGAGTCACTCAGTTATTCTGGGTTTTATGGAGTTTGTATTCAGTAACTATACCAAGCACTGTTACTGGCATGGCAGGAATGTTGAGAAAATTAACAGTGGCATTGTTGCCAGAATATCCTGCCTTATGACCAAACAACAACACAAGATGGAGAAGCAATGACATTTAGGTCCGTCCTGGACCTTGCCTGACTGAATGAATCTGGTCATATAGCTCTTTAGACCTTTACCTTAGGCAGCAGCTAAATTATTCTGGTCTCAGGAAGGTGCTTTTCTTATTAACTTAAAGCCTTTGTCACACATTTTTTTTAATAGGTCATATTTCAAGGTTAATATAGCTCACTCATTGGAGCATATTACTAAATAATATGCAAATAGGAAGTGAAATTATTTCCTTGTCTTACAGAAAATGTAACATTTAGATAATTACAGGGTACCCAGGATAAACTTACTATTACATGGCAATGTAGCATATCATGTGTTTTTCAAAGTACAAAAGGAAAGGTAGTTTGCTTTTGTATACAGTATTCTCTCTCTTTGTACAAATTATTTATGTTTGCTTGCAGGAAACATCAGCAACCATCTGGGAATTTTCACAGCCTGAACACAACATGGATCTTTCAGAATATCAAGAGCAGTCTCAAACAAGTGAGAAACCATATGAGTGCATAAACTGTGGGAAAACATTTGCAAAGAATAGTGATCTTAAAAGGCATATAATGATTCATACGGGTGAACGACCCTATGTTTGTGAAGTTTGTGGAATGGGTTTTATTGAAAAAGTGAAATTAACTGTTCATATGCGACATCACACAGGTGAAAGACCCTTCGAATGTGAAGAATGTGGTAAAACCTTTATTAAGAAAAGTGATTTGAAATATCATAGTAAAACTCATTCAGGAGAAAAGAATTTTATTTGTAATGAATGTGGTAAAGGATTCCTGAAAAACAGTGACCTTAAGAGGCATGCAAGACTACACACAAGTGATTACCATGAACAAATTCAAGCAAGTGAGAAGCCTTTTGAATGTGTAGCATGTGGAAAAGCTTTTGCGAAGAATAGTGATTTGAAAAGACACGTAATGATTCATTCTGGTGAGCGACCTTTTGTATGTGAAGTTTGCGGAGCAGGCTTCATAGAAAGAGTGAAGCTTACTGTCCACATGAGACATCATACAGGAGAAAGACCTTTTGAATGCACAGAATGTGATAAAGCCTTTATTAAGAAAAGTGATTTAAAAAATCATTACAAAACCCATTTTGGAGAGAAGAGTTTTATTTGTAATGAATGTGGCAAAGGATTTCTTAAAAACAGTGAGCTTAAGAGGCACACCAGAATTCATACAGGTGATAAACCATTTGTATGTGAGTTTTGTCCTGCATGTTTTTCAGAAAGTGGGAAGCTAAAGAAACATACTATTGTGCACACAGGTGAAAAGTCATTTGCTTGTGATGAATGTGGGAAGAGGTTTGCCCAAAACTCAGATCTGAATAGACATATGAGAGTTCACACTGGAGAAAGACCATATGTTTGTGAAATATGTAATCATAACTTTAGCCAAAGACATATTTATAAGGACCACATGAAACATCATGTGCCAATGGTTGCTCCAGAAGAAACTACTGAAGGAGAACAGTTAGACAATCCTAGTATAGCATTGTCTCCTATAATAAATATGATTTTCAATCCAGCTGGTGGTACACATGCAGATCAAGACATACTCAGTTTTGGGCAGAGCTCTGCTTCAGAGGGTCATGAAGTATCAGAAGTTACTGATTCCTCTAACTTCTTGCAAGTAAATGTAAATGTCAAAGATGAAGTGATCTGCATTAATCCTGACAATATCGAGTGTAAAACAGACGTTAATGTTAAAGATGAAGTGATGGATGCTAATAATGATGGTGGCTTGCATCAAAATGACTTCAATGCTTAAATTATATTTATAAATTATTATGTATATATTTTGTAATTTGTATGGATTATGTCATACTTCGAGCAAGAATACATTAATGCCAGTACCGTACATGTAAACTGATCATAATAATTATGAATGTAGAAAAGTAGGGGTTTCATGTGTTTGGCTCTGAATACATACTGGTGAATGCAACTCCAAATTCATGGTTTCATCACACTATTTTCACACATGTTGTATGATATACCCAAATGAGGCTGAAAATATTAATCAGTGATCAATAATACTATAGTATATTGAATTATGAATAACTATAATCATTGAATTATATATATACTGTATATCTATCATTCACTTCGGCACTAGGAGACTCGAACCACATCACACTGTGGGTCGGCGGTTCAAGTCTCCTAGTGCCTCTGCAAATGATGTGTTTATTTCCACGATAATGTGGTACACAATTTATATAATGTGAGTGTGGATCACCAATTCCTGTGTGCTTAAGAGGGAGGCGGGGAAAGTATAAAATTGTGCAGGGGTTTCATGCTTCTGAAATATTTCCTATTGAGCCTCTCAAGCTCAGTGGAAGAGCTTCCGTCTCACACCGTTAGGACACAGTGGGGTTGGCGGTTCCAGTCTCCTAATGCCTAAGTGGAAGAAATTGTTATTTCCACAATAGTGCGGTTGACAAATAAATAAATATATATATATATATACTATATATATATATATATATATATATATATATATATATATATATATATATATATATATATATATATATATATATATATATATATATATATATATATACAGACACACACACACACACACACACACACACACACACACACATAAAAAAGGCTTTCGACAGAGTTCCACATAAGAGGTTGTTCTGGAAACTGGAAAATATTGGAGGGGTGACAGGTAAGCTTCTATCATGGATGAAAAATTTTCTGACTGATAGAAAAATGAGGGCAGTAATCAGAGGCAATGTATCGGAATGGAGAAATGTCACAAGTGGAGTACCACAGGGTTCAGTTCTTGCACCAGTGATGTTTATTGTGTACATAAATGATCTACCAGTTGGTATACAGAATTATATGAACATGTTTGCTGATGATGCTAAGATAATAGGAAGGATAAGAAATTTAGATGATTGTCATGCCCTTCAAGAAGACCTGGACAAAATAAGTATATGGAGCACCACTTGGCAAATGGAATTTAATGTTAATAAATGTCATGTTATGGAATGTGGAATAGGAGAACATAGACCCCACACAACCTATATATTATGTGAGAAATCTTTAAAGAATTCTGATAAAGAAAGAGATCTAGGAGTGGTTCTAGATAGAAAACTATCACCTGAGGACCACATAAAGAATATTGTGCAAGGAGCCTATGCTATGCTTTCTAACTTCAGAATTGCATTTAAATACATGGATGGCGATATACTAAAGAAATTGTTCATGACTTTTGTTAGGCCAAAGCTAGAATATGCAGCTGTTGTGTGGTGCCCATATCTTAAGAAGCACATCAACAAACTGGAAAAGGTGCAAAGACATGCTACTAAGTGGCTCCCAGAACTGAAGGGCAAGAGCTACGAGGAGAGGTTAGAAGCATTAAATATGCCAAAACTAGAAGACAGAAGAAAAAGAGGTGATATGATCACTACATACAAAATAGTTACAGGAATTGATAAAATCGACAGGGAAGACTTCCTGAGACCTGGAATTTCAAGAACAAGAGGTCATAGATTTAAACTAGCTAAACACAGATGCCGAAGAAATATAAGAAAATTCACCTTCGCAAATAGAGTGGTAGACGGTTGGAACAAGTTAAGTGAGAAGGTGGTGGAGGCCAAGACCGTCAGTAGTTTCAAAGCATTATATGACAAAGAGTGCTGGGAAGACGGGACACCACGAGCGTAGCTCTCATCCTGTAACTACACTTAGGTAATTACACTTAGGTAATTACACACACACACACACACATACAGTATATACACATACATACATACATATACATATAGTGGTACAGTACCTTCATTTTCTAACTGAATCCGTTCCCAGAGACGGTTCGACAATTGAAAATGTGAAAACCGAAACGAATTTCCCATAAGAGATAATGTAGATTGAATTAATTCATTCTGTACATCCAAAAATATTAACTAAAAAAAATACATTTTATACATACTACTACTCATATTTTGTACTACAATATGTATAAGTATATCTTACCTTTATTGAGGACTCTTGTTGGCATATGGAAGATGGTGAGTGAGGAGGGGGGAGGAGGAGAGGTGTTAGTATTTGGAAGGGGGAGTCCCCTTCCATTATAACATCAGGCAGTGATGACATTTCTGGGGTACTCTCTCTCCTACGTTTTGCAGGCATACCACAAGGACCTGGTTGTGGGTCGCTGCTTGCTTGTTTTACTAAGAATCTGTCTATAGACACTTGTTTTTCCCCATGCCTCACAACACTATGAATAACAATTCTTTTTCTAAATTTCTCAAACCATCCCCTGCTCGCCTTAAATGCTTTCATATCTGCATCACTCATTCCAGAGGTTTTCTTTATAAAATCTTCATGCAATAGCCTTGATTTTTCACAAATGATGGCTTTGAAATGCGTTCAGAGACCCATGGCATGATATATAATAAGAACGTTTATGTCTAGAAACCAAAAAAGCACAAAAACAATTAAATTCCTCACAAAGAATTCAAGTACGGTCATCACTAGGTGGGAGACACTGGTAAACTGAGGCGGGCCTTGCCCGCACCGTCCCATATGTGCAACAACAAGCTCAGAGACGTGAGGCAAACCTCGAATACCGACTTAAATTTTACGAAGAAATTGAGCTCGAAAATCAAAAATTAAAAAAAAGAGGGGCATTAAAAAACCGAGGTTCCACTGTACAGTATATATTTATTTATATATATATATTTATGTATTTATTTATTTATTTTTTACTTTGCTCTGATGAAGGCAAATTAGCCGAAAACGCATTAAGCATTCTCTCTTTTTCAAATGTAGTTTTTCAGCATAATTGGATCAGTGTTTTTGTGATTATTTTTGCATATTTATATATATATATACATACACACAAGTATACTGTATATATAATACACACATGCATACATATATCATAGCTGCTCAAGTGCTTAATTTTCAAGGCTAGAGCACTGAAGAGTAGTAACAGACATTGCTTACTACAGTATGCCTATGATAGTGTAATAGAATATGGTTATAACAATTTAGTATGGATTGGTGACCTATCACTTCTGGGTAAGTGTATGTAGATGATACTATGCTTATAAAGAATATATATTTATAATAGAAAATTTAATATATTTGTTAAGAAATTTAGATTTACCAATATATAGCATCTGTTTTTAACCATGCAGTTATAATTATGAATTCAGGCATCAGTTTACTTCAATAAACACAAATAAAAAATAGTATCCATAAACAATTTCATGTCTCAATATACAGTATAACAATGTTCAGTTCTAAACACTGTATTAATATACAGAATCATGGTTTATGTTTTTGTACCAATAATATGAAGAAACTGGCGTGTATAATATTAATTAATTAAGAAATAGTCCTAGTCATTAGGTTACTTAAATTGGTAACTACAGTATCAGTTATGAAATTATTGAAAACTATGAACATCATATTAGTGACACCATCAATATTTCTCATTGAACCATAATTTTTTATGTACACAAAGCATGATTTGAGAATCTAGGACCAGTTGTTATTAAAACATAGTTGTAATCTCCAATTGTCTTTACAAAAATAGGAACATTACTGATTAATTACAGATAAATACTGTATCATATAAGCAATTAGAATATTAGTTTTTATTTTTCAATATAATCTCATTAAGATGAAAATGTTGTTACATATACAGTACCAGTAGCAATGTTTAACAGAGTAATCATATCATTGGTGTGGATACATGCGATAACATAGTCAACATGTCACTGCCATATGTGCATGCAACACTTGAAGTATATCTTGCAACATTTCCAAATGCATCATGCATCACCAGTTTGCTAGTGGTGTTAACTATCTGGAATTACAATGCTTGCAAATATACGACTAAATAAATGCTCGATTGTATTGTAAATATAGATGTTCAGGCAGAGCATCCTTTCCTATTTTCAACCATTCAAAATGCTGCTAGGTAAAATATAATAGGCCTGTAAAAAAAATATCATGCAAATATACTTATGTGAGTGCTTGAGATATCTGCTGTGTTTAGATCATATCATGGGAGAGCCCTCTTGTGACTCCTTGAAGCTACTATAATAGTACCAAACTTCAAGATGCCATCATTCAATGGAGTTCTTATTCTTATTTCTGGGGACCACGAGCCAGAACCTGGCCCCTCATAAAGGTGCAGGGAACGGTGGCATGTATGAAAAAAATTTGTAAACTTAAATATGATGGCACCACCAAGGGAAGGCATCCAGAAAGTCAGTGAGAGAAAACAGACCACTGTTTGGTTAGAAATGAGACTGCAGCCTCAAAACAGCCAAAAGAACTCCCCCAACAATGTAAATAAACCATCAAAAATAAGTGAAACTAGCTCAAGTTACTTCAACCCCCACCTACCCCTTCCTCATTTGGGGAAAGGAGGGAGGCAGACTAGGTCAACACATCACCAGTTCTTATGCTGATGTGTATTGTGCCTGGACACCATCTTAGTTTGCTCTGGCTCTAGTCAAGTTTGCTTTGGCTCCAGTCTTGGGCCAAGTGGTGTCTTGCCTTCTTTAGGAGGGAAGAAAGGGAATTTTAGGCTGTCCAGGGACCACGAGCCAGAACCTGGCCCCCTCAGAGAGGCACGAGGAGCAATGGCCTATAGAAGGGTACATGTGTTTAGAGCATTCTATGTCTGCCATCGACCGGGCCGGGCATCTAGAAAGGTAAGCTCCTCAAAACAAACCCCTATTCTGGCTAAAACTACTACTGAAAGCTAACGAATGGGACAGAACTAACCAAATAAAAACCGAGCAAATGAGCATGACATTACACTTACCGCGCCTGTGCAGCTCCCCCTTTCCCCGAGTGGGGGAAAGGAGAGCCCCAGATCCCTTGCGCCGGCTATCCATCTGTCAGTTCTCGGCTGATGTGATGAGGCTCGGTCATGTGGCTCCAGCTCCTGATTCTCTATGTTGTGCTGTGCCCAGTGTCCAGTACTGCTCTTACGGTGGTGTGTACCTGTGAGTAATATTCACAGGTACTCGGGCTGCATGTGCTTAGGGTTCCGTTCCCTGAGTGCCCTCTTAAGTACCGCCCTTGGGGCTTGGGGTTATCTTCCGCAAGTCACCTTGAAGGTCTACCTCTGTTGGTCTTTTGCTGCTCAGTAACTGATCGCCCTGGGAGTGTTGGGGGAGGGGGGGTTCCTTCTCCCTTGTTTACCTTGGGGGGAAAGTCATAGTTTTTGTACTGGTAGGGGTGCGGGGGTACTGTGCAGCTAGTTTCACCTATTACAGCGGCCGGCTCTGTACCTTCTGGGTATGTTGTCCTCTTGCGGGGGTTATTCTTTTCATTTTTGTTTGCTGGGTGGGGGGGGTCCACTTTTGTTCCCCGGCCCCCCCCTGTTATATTAGAGTCTTGACCTCCTGTTTTTCGGTGGTACCCCCCCCTGCTCGGCCCCCATGAGTGGACACATCCCAGGGATTCAGCTTTAGA